GCAGCAGGATTATAACATCAGAAAAGGTAATATACAACAAATGGACTGAATCCAATGAAAAAAAAAAACAAAGAACGGATACGTGAAACCAAAGCCTCCACCAAATTGTAATTGTTCATCCACAGCAGTAACGGGGATGACCTGGAAATCATAAGTAATAATTCCCCATTAAAAAAGGCACAGAATTCTCACATATGAAACAGTAAAAACCAGCCCCATTACGTTCTCATTTTTCAATTTTCTCCCGAGGTAAAGTGTCACCATCATTCGGATGGTAGGGTTAACAGACTTTCACCTTTCTTTGTCAAGATTAGCCGGTGCCAGGCACTCAAATCGATGCAACTTCCATTCCAGCTTCAGTAACAACGTCATTAACCAATCAATAAATTTTCAATTGATTTATAAGAAATTCAACTAATTGAGTTGAAACATCACAAACCTGACATTTGGTCCTACAATACCAAACAACCTAAAAAGCTGAGCATTTCTTAAGATTGCTTTTTTTGAAACATCCATCGCACCTTGATTCGGTTAAGGATGTGTTTGCCACGCAGACGTATGGCTCTTGGCTTATAATTACTTCTGCAAATTAAAGCTGCGTTAGGATTTTTTTTTTTTTTTTTTTTTTTTTGGGTTTAAGCTGCATTTTTAAAGAAAAAAATTATTAAAATTCGCAGGCTATCAATAGATTAATTGATCGAATTTAGCAGAGTTTTTTTGTTTTTCGGCGGTGATGAGAGAACGGCCTCTATCGGGGAGAGGCTTGAAAGGGTCAAAGCCACGAGCTCGAAGTGAAGTCTGCGTTTGTTCTTCCTCGGAAAGTTAAACGTGGCGGAAAATAACTAAATACGGCATCGTTTCGATATAACTTTCTAAAGCATGGTCAAAAGTAAAAAAAATGAAATTACGCGCTTTTCCATGGGTAGTTGATGGGAACTTACACAGGAAGTTTAAAATTTTTGTCCTTGTTATAAGGTGTTGAATAATAATAGTTAGATATAAAAAATTAATATAAATTATTGATTTTTTCAATTGTAAAAATAATTAATTATCTATTAATTTGTTAATTTAATTTTAATTAATTAATATTAAATATTATTTATTAAATAAAATAAAAAAATTTTAACAAATAAATACAATTTACTTAAAATTCTTTAAAAAATAATAAAATAATATAATATTTAAAATTTTTTAATTAAAAATTAATTAATATAATAATGTGAGAATTATCGTAAAATTAATATAATTTGATATAAAAATATTAGAAGTATTGTAATCTCTTAAGAGAGAATTGTAATAATTTTAAACATAATAAATGTAAGAACAAGTATAAAAAATATTCTTATAACATAAATAATAAGTTGATAACGTAAAAAAATTATTACCTTAAACTGAAAAAATAATTTTAAACTAATAAATAAGTGTTAATATAAAAAAGTAAGAATAATCATAAAATTAGTGTCATTTAATGTAAAATAAATTAGAAGTGTGGTAATACCCTAATAAAAAGTCGTAAATGTTATAAATGTAATGAAAAGTAACAATACATATAAAAAAATATTATTATAACAAAAATAATTAAGTTGGTAATGTAAAAAAAATATTAATATAAAATAAAAAAATAAAAGTTAATGTAAAAAAGTGAAAATAATCGTAAAATTAATATTATTTAATGTAAAATGATTACAAATATTTACACCTTAATAAAATATTGTGATAATTTTAAATATAATGAAAAATAATAACAAGTGTAAAAAAAATTATTAAAACGTATAATTAAATTAGTAATGTAAAAAAATTAGTATTATGAATAAAAAATAATCTTATACCAAAAAATAGGTGTTAACATAAAAAAATTATAAAATTAGTATTTTTTAACATAAAATAGTTAGAAGTGTTGTGATACTTTCAAGAAAAAGTTATAATAATACTAAACGTAATAAAAAGTAACAAATGTAAAAATATATTATTATAACGTAAATAATTAAGTTGACAATATACAAAAATTTATTGTTATAAATAAAAAATAATTCTAAACAAAAAAAAATGTTAATGTAAAAAAGTGAGATTAATTATAAATTAGAATAATTTGACGTAAAGTATGCTAAAAGTGTTGTAATATAAAAAGATAAGAATAATTGTAAAATTAGTGTCACTTGACATAAATTGGATTACAATTGTTGTAACACTCTAATAAAAAATTATGATAAATTTAAACGTAATAAAAAAATAAGAACAAGTGTAAAAAAATATTATTATAACATAAATAGTATTTTTGGCAATGTAAAATAATTATTATTATAAATTAATAATTTTAAATTAAAAAATAAATGTTAGTATAAAAAAAATGAAAGTAATCATAAATTTAATATTATTTGACGTGAAATGATTAGAAATGTCGTAATACATTTAAAACAATTATAATATTCATAAACGTAATAAAAAATGACAATAAGCGTAAAAAGATATTATTGAAACTTAAATAATTAAGTTGGCAATATAAAAAAAAACTATTATTACAAATAAAAAAATAATTTAAAATAAAATGTTAAAAGTTAAAATAAAACGATAAAAATAATTGTAAAATTGATATTATTTTAATATAGAATAGTTAAAAGTATTGTTACATATTTAGAAAAAAATTTTAATTTATTTTAAATATAATAAAAAGTAACAACAAATGTAAAAAGATATTATTGAAATATAATAAATTGACAATGCAAAAAAATTAATATTATAAACAAAAAAATAATTCAGTCAAAAAATATGTGTTAACGTAAAAGATAAGAATAATCATAAAATTAGTATCATTTGGCATAAAATATATTAAAAGTATCATAATACCTTAAAAAAACTTGTGATAATTCTAAACATAATAAAATATAAGAATATGTGTAAAATATTTTATTATAACGTAAATATAAGTTCATTACGTAAAAAAATTGTTATTATAAATAAAAAATAATTCTAAAAAAATATGTATTAACGTAAAAATGTGAGAATAATTGAAAAAATTGAATCATATGGTGTAAGATATGTTACAATGTCCTAATGTAAAAAGATAAGAATAATCATAAAATTAATATTATTTCGCGTAAATTAGATTAGAAGTATTGTAACACATTAATAAAAAGTTGTGATAATTTTAAATATAATAAAAAGTATGAGCAAGTATAAAAAAAATATTATGGTAACATAAAAGAATTATTATTACAAATAAATAAAAATTCTAAACCAACAAATAAATGTTAATATAAAAATGTGAGAGTAATTATAAAAATGATATCATTTGACGTAAAATAATTATAAGTATCATAATACCTTTAAAAAAATTATAATAATCCTAAACGTAATGAAATGTAACAATAAGTATAATAATATATTATTATAACATAAATAATTAAGTTGTTAATGTAAAAAATTTATTATCACAAATAAAAATATTTTTAAACAAAAAAAAAGAGTTAAGTAAAATGATAAAAATAATCGTTAAATTGACATTATTTTATGTAAAATAGTTAGAATTATCATTATACTTTAACAAAAAATTATAATAATTTTAAACATAATAAAAGGTAACAACAAACGTAAAAAGATATTATTGAAACTTAATAAATTTGTAACGTAAAAAAATTAGTATTATAATAAAAATAATTTTAAATAAAAAAATAAGTGTTAAAGAAAAAAGTTGAAAATTATTGTAAATTTTGTATAATTTGGTGGAAAATATGTTTAAAGTATTGTACTACTTAAGAAAAAGTTGTGATAATTTAAATATAATAAAATATAAGAACAAACGTAACAAATTTTATTATAACATAAATAATTAAAATGACAATATAAAAAATTATTATTATAAATAAAAATAATTTTAAATCTAAAAATAAGTGTTAACATCAAAATGTAAGAATAATCGTAAAATTAGTATAATTTAACGTAAAATATATTAAAAGTATCGTAACATAAAAATATAAGAATCTTCATAAAATTAGTATCATTTGATGTAAAATAATTTAGAACTATTGTAATATTTTAATGAAATGTTGTGATAATTCTAAATATAATGAAATATAAGAATAAGTGTAAAAAAATTAAATTGACAACATAAATAAATAATAATTAAATTATTATTATAGATAAAAAATAATTCAATAAAAAAATAAGTGTTTATGTAAAAATATGAGAATAATCATAAAATTTATATAATTTTATATAAATTATATTAGAAGTGTTATAACACTTTAAGAAAAAAGTTGTGATAATTTTAAATATAATAAAATATAAGAACAAGTGTAAAATCATATTATTATAATGTAAATAATTAAATTATTAATGTAAAAAATTATTAGTATAAATAAAAAGTAATTTCAAACTAAAAAATAAGTGTTAAAGTAAAAGAGTAAAAAAAGTAAAAATAAACATAAAATTGATATCATTTAACATCGTAATACCTTAAGAAAGAATTATGATAATTTTAAATTAAAAAATAAAAAAAAGTACAACAAAAAATTAAAGTAAATAATTAACTTGAAAAAGTAAAAGAATTAATATTTTTAAATTAAAAGATTATAAAATAAACAAATTTTTTAATGTAAAAAGATAAAAATAATCATAAAATTTATATCATGATGTAAAATGAGTTTAAAATATCTTATACTTGAAAAAAATTAATAATTCTAAATATAATGTTAAAAAAATATAAAAATATATTATTAAACTTAATTAATTAAATTAATTTCGTAAAATAAATTGATATTATAAAATAAAAAAATTATTTGTTAAACTAAATTAAATTAAATTATTTTTTTTAGTGTTTACCTTATAACTTGTTTTTTATTTTTTTTCTTTTATTTAAAAGTCATATTATTTTCAAAATTTATTAAGATATATTAAAGATATCATGATATTTCGTGACGATAGTTCTAAAATTTTACTGATTTTCCAACGGTAAATTATAGATATTTTTGGGGGTTTTTTATATAAAAATGAAAATTAGCGTCACAGTCAATCATCCTCTGGAATTTCACAAGTCATCCATCCATGACTATGATCCACGGTCTCCATGTCGTCTGTGACGCCGATTCCTTGAGTATATAAGTAAGAATAACTCCCCTACATCATTTTCTCCGTCCCGAAAGCCTTTCTAATCGTCCGACTTCGCTCGAATCGTTGTTGAGCTATCACTGTCCCACTTCGCTTCTCCAAAGCTTCTTTGTGTGTTGGTAAGCAGCCGCACCCACTTCCGTTTCCTTTCCCCTCACATTTGCCTTTCATTTCCTTCCCTTCAAATTCGCATCCCCTCAAGCCTTTCTTTTTCCGTCGCATCCTCACGTAATTTTCTTTCTCTATTAAAGTCTTAATCTTGCCTTTAATCCTTGATTAATCACCTTTCTTTCTTTTTCTTTTAGTAGCCATGGATACGACCTCGCATTCTACGCTGTTTTTATGCGGCAAATCATCTTTCGAAACCGAAATTGCCAAATCATTGAAAATCAACGACGCTCTTAAGCTCCCAAACGGCGGCGAAGTTTCAACTCTTTTACAATCGGAGATTAATAATTTCCGATTCGGGGAAGGGACTTTTAATGTTGAGTTGTTTTTGAATTCACTCTCGACTAACCGGTTCGGTCGGTTTCTTATTTGGTCTCCGCGGTTGCCTTCCACGCACGACATCGTTTCTCAGTAAGCAAACGATTAATCGGCCCAATAAAAAATCAAATTTAGTTGAAAATTTTTTGTTATTTTTCGAATGTTGAAGTTTGATTTTTAGCTTTTGAACAGTAATTTTTGTGAGCTTCCAGTTGGTGCAGTTTGTGTAGCTGATGTTCAGTTTAAAGGGCGAGGTAAGCTTCCGTTTGGTTAGTACTTAAAAGAAGCTAAAAAAAACAGCAGTAATAATATTTTTGAATAATTAAAAAATTGAACCTTTCATATAAGTTATTTGTTCGTTTTCAATTAATATGATTTTGTAAATGTTTCGAGAATTTTGCAGGTCGGTCCAAGAACGCGTGGGAGTCTCCGGGGGGATGCCTTATGTTTTCGTTTACATTACAAATGGAGGATGGAAAAATTGTGCCTTTGGTTCAATATGTGGTGTCTCTCGCTGTGACGGAGGCTATAAAGGATGTTTGTGATCGCAATGTAAGCTTTCCTTGTTTCCCTGTTCTGCTTATATGTTTTCCCTTAGGAATGCAATGAAGGAGGCACCGACTTTGCGGCCATTGCTTGGGGCTAAAGAAATTATTAGGTTAACTACTTAAAGCGTAGAAGAAAAGTAGAAAACAATAGTTTAAGTTTGGAAGGCATATTAAGGGCCTTAAAATTAAAGGATGAATGCCACTGAATGAAAGGGATATTTAGTCCATAATTGCTATGCATCAACTTCAACTTCAAATGTTTAAACTATGGAGCACAATTTTTTAATTGTACCTTGTTAAAGCTGAATTGTGGAACCTTAATTGCTGTTATATGCTTTGCAACTAGGAAAATTTTCCTTGTGTTTAGGCTACTGCTACTTTGACAATTCAGATCATTTACCATTATTATATTGCTAATTATTCTTCAGTATGATCCTGAAGTTTAGATTTTGATAGATTTGTTTTTCAAAAAATGGTTTCAGGGCTTTCCATGTCTTGATGTTAGGATCAAGTGGCCAAATGATCTGTACTTAAATGGCCTTAAAGTGGGAGGCATTCTCTGCACATCAACATATAAATCAAAGAAGTTCAATGTCAGTTCTGGTAAAGAGACTCATTCCTCTGGGTGATGATAAGCTAATTCAGTTTGACAATTTATGCTTCTGTCTGTGCAATTCCCTAGATTCAGCGGCAAAGCCACTGACTTATTACAAGTTGGAGGGATGTGACCCTCAAAATTTCTTAAAAGTTAACTTTTTATCTTTGAAGGTACTAATAATCTAAAACATTTATTGACTCCTATCCCTAGTAGTGCTGTTATGCCCTTGCAACTTTGCAGGCATTTCCATTAGCATCCTTACCTCTCCTCTAACATTGAAAATTCTTGCTTCACTCTGGTTAGACTATTAATCTATAGAAGTGCATTCTGCAATCAAAAATAGGATTTTGCTTGCCTTATTTTTCTTATATAATATATGTGCATGATGAAGCTGACAAATAAATTGCTGTTCTTGCAGGTATAGGTTTGAATGTTGGTAATGAGAAACCAACAACATGCTTGAATGCGGTATTAAAAGAGCTTTCTACTACTTCTATTGAATTTAGAAGAGAATATATTATGGGTGCCTTCTTTAATAAATTCGAGATGTTATATGATATTTTCATAAATCAAGGTGAGTCAAATCCTTCTTTTCTCTCCATAGTCTTCTGGGTCATATCTGTAAATATGCCTCTTTCTCTGTTGAATTGGCCATTCTTATAAACGTGCAATGTTAATGCCCATGCTAAAGCTCTTTCCTTAAGTTTCCAACAGACAGCATTTAACTGAAATGTGAGGAAAATGGTAATTGTTGGTTAATTATAACTGTGAGATTTGGGTGGGTTTCCATTGGTGAATAAGAGACAATAGTTGCATATTCCTGACTCTTTTCCTTAAGGGACTGCAGTTGCATCATACACATTCCTCTCTCCCTTCTTCTTCTCGACCCCTCTCTCTCTCTTTCTCTCTCTGATATATTGTCAACCCATCATTTAGAACCTATATCTTAGGAAATTTCTATAGGCTCCAAAAGTTTTCCATCTTCTCTTAACAATTACAATGGACTGTCTACTGTTTTCTTTCCTCCTTTTTGTTTCCTAAAGAAAATCCAAACAAATATATTGTCTAAATTGTGAAACAAATTGTTTTAGGGAGTCTGTTTTGGACAAACCTGTGTATTAAATTGTATTTCACACCTTTTTATACTATAATAACTCCAAGTTTTCTTTTGGGGGTTACCTAACATGCAGGATTTCAAACTCTTGAGGAGCTGTACTATAGAACATGGCTTCATAGGTGAATTTTCTTTTACCATTTTCATCTTTCAATTATGTGTGCCTTACTGGTTTTAATAATGTAAGAGAAGGGATTTACTAGCTACTTGTCATCCGTTCAATGTGCTGTCCAGGGATGATTGTGGCACTGCTCTAAGCAGTTTACACCTTCAGCTGGTTGTTGTTTTAAAGGATTTAAGCCAGTGTTGTTGCAATTAATTATCAATCTTAGTCTGTTGTTATTGCACCGAACAATTGCCCTTGGTAGCATTAATATAAAGTCAAATAAAATTTTTGCTTGTCCACATTTATGTTCATCAAAGCCAGGGAAGGTGGGCCATGTTATAGTGCTCTTATTTGGATTGCAATGTCTATGAATGTGTGAAGTGGAGTATCTTTTAGAAATGGTTTACATATGGATGGCCATCATGTCTGGAAAATACAATTGTGGTCTGCTTATTCTTCCAGGGTCATTAAATAATTAGAAGCCTGATGAAGTTTCTTCATGCCATTTAGTTATCTCAAAAAGTCAATTCAACTTGAACAGTCTTTTAAAATATGTGCGTATATTTCCATATTGATCTTTTTTATATAAACGTTTATGTGCATAAAATTCTCTCTATGTGTGTGCAGACAGCTTTTCATTGCTCTTCTTAATTGATGCAACACAACTAAGCTAGCTTTTCATTTGCTATTCTTAATTGATGCAGCCCAACTAAGCAAGCTTTTCGTTGCTCTTCTTAATATTTTCAGCATAATGAATCATGATGAAACTTTTCTATCATCTATGTGATTTTATGCATAGGTATGTGATTTTATTTTGTATTGGCCTTGCAGTGGGCAGAGAGTTATTATACAGGAAAAGAATGAGGACAAAGTTGTGGAGAATGTGGTTACTATCCAGGTATGATAGACTCAAAAGTTTACCGCATAAGTTTCTGACCTATTCTTTTTGGCACTTGCAAATGCAGGTGTCTGCTTGTGGGTATGGATATGAAAGAAAAAAAAAGCCCTTCTAAATGATTAAATCATCCAAGTTTACTTAAGTTCTGTCTCTTTTTGTATGATGGGAAATTTTCTGTTTCCATAATTATCTAGTTGTTGCATATATAGTCGTGCACTTGGAGTAAATAATTGTCAATTAGCTGCATGAATGAACATAATATGCATCTTTATTCCTTTTATTCTCTTTTTAATTTATATCTTTTAGGTGATGGTGGGTGGAGAGAGGGCTAGTCAAGACTTCATTTTTCTTTGTCACTTAGTAAAATTTCTTGTACAAGCCTTTTTGGTCAAAGTAAACAATGCCATGAAAAAGCATGTTCATTTTAGAGTTCAGACTTGAATATACAGTTTGTTTCTCTACATCTTTTGGTCTTTTGCCTTTGTATATGGTGGGTAAAGAAAATTAACTTCTTATTGTAGAGGTTATAGTCAATGATCTTGTGGTAACTTAGAGAGCTTTTTATGTAAATCTCAACTAGCGTTCAGTAGCAATTTCTGTTCCACAAATATGTTAAAGAAGTGAACATAATTTCATATCGTTGATGCTGTTACCTGAAAGTAAGTGTATTAAAAATATTATTCACTTCATTTTGGCAGGGTTTGACATCCTCTGGATATTTGTTAGCTATTGGGGACGACTATCAAATGTGTGAGCTTCATCCTGATGGAAACAGGTATCTAAACTGTACTGCTTTTTTTGCTAAAGTTGTGACATCCCCCCCCCCCCTTCTAGTGCTCTAGAAAATTTTCCATTAGTTAGAAAGAAAATATTAACACTATCCAGTTCTTTTATTTTATAGGTAGCATCTAGTTTAACTACCTGTAAAAACATCGAAAAAAACGAAGATTAACTGTTAAGGAAAGAAGTGATAAGCATGCTACACATGGATCCTTGAAACTTTAATGGCTTCCTTTAAAATTGAATTGTTAAGAACACCAGAGGACACCTAGTCATTCGTAATTCTGCTCCTTGCCTGTGCTGAAACTAAAAAGCTACTTGTAGACACTAAATTTTATTTGGACAAAATTTCAGTCATTTGTGAAAAACTTAAAATCCAGCTCGGTTCAAATCCAACATCTCTCTAATTTTGACAAGCTCCAAAATCGAAATTTGGATCAATTCGATCCAAATGCTCCAAAATCAACTCTAGTCAAATTTAGTCAATAAAGTCAAAATTAGTCAAATAAAGTAAAAATTACACAAAATTTGGTAAAAATTGATAAAATTATGGTGAATTCTCAAAATTCACAAATCAATTAGAATCAATGTGGTTTAAAAATAATATTGGTGATTTTTAAAGCACTAAAATTTTGATTATACTTTGAGAAGTGTAAAATTATCAAAACGTTTTTAGAGGTATTTTGGTAATTTAGCTTTTTCAAAGTCGAATTTTCGTGAAAATTTTCATATCATAAATGAATTTTTTTTAATGATTTTTGATGCATTGAAAACCCTGGACACATTTAAAGAGGTGTGAAATTGCTAAAATACTTTTTAGGGGTATTTTCGTAATTTGATCTTTTTGAAGTTGATTTTTTGCAAAATTTTTCAGATCATGATTTTATAATATTTGATGATTTTTTATGCATTCAGACTCATAGAAGTACCTTGACCTTCCTGAGGTTGGATTTTCATGAAATTTTGTAGATCTTAATTTCATAATATTTTATAATTTTGGGTACTTTAAAATCCTAAAAATGAGTACAAAAACATTGATTTATAATAAAATAACCTGAATGTCGAAAACTTTATATTAAGGACAAAATTATCTTTTTATTTAGTTTAGGGGTTGTAAAAATTCAACATTTACAATGAACAATGTGGACCATTAGATCTCATAATGACTTTTGATCTAATAGCTAAGGATTACTTTTTGGATTAATAAATACAATGAAAGAGTTTTGGCTTTTGGATGAGATTTGATCATAGGGTTCATATTCAATCTTTCAAAGATATTTTGTTGGCTTTTTATTCATTCAAGGTGGACGTTTACTGCATGAAAAAACCAGAGGAGGAAGCTGAAAAAAAAATCGTAAAACAAAGATATTTTGGTCACCTTTGGATGAGGTTTCATCACATTTTTCATTACGTTTTCATTGTGTTTCATCCATTTTTTTTATTTTCTTAAAGGTTTTTTAGTTTATTTTCTTATGCAAAATTTGAATTCAACTTCATCTAATTAATCAATAGTTGAAGTGAAATTAGAAAACAAACAAAAACAAAACATGTTAGAAATTTGCTAAACATCATGAAAACATAATATAAAGCATGGATTAAAGAACCAACAATTATCAAAACTTAGAACAAGGTTCGACAAAACACATTCTCATTATGGTCAAACCTTCATGGCATTTCCTTGCATCATTTTTTATGTCATTTCATCCAAACAAAACAATAATCACTTGAAACTTAATTCATCAAGGGATTTATAGCATTAAAACAAATTCAACAAACATGAAATGATCCAAGAATGGTTAAGGCATTCATATGAACAAAAACACAATTTCAACCCTATCATATATCTAACTCATGAACTAAACATATAACAAATGAACAATTAACCAAGCATTCATAGGTACGAAAAGAAACAAGGAAAACATTTAGAGGGGGAGTCAAGAGGAGGTTAGGCCATGGGAAGGGTGATTGGCTGAACCTTCAACTTAGTTTTTCAATTGTGGATTGCTTTTTTTTTTTGTTTATTTTCTAACTTCACTGCAACAATTGATTAATTGGATGAAGCTGGATTCAAATTTTGAACAAGACTATAAACTAAAAAACCTTTAAGAAAATCAACAAAGAAATGAATGAAAGAAAATGAAAATGTAATGAAAAATGTGATGAGATTGTAAGAAAATGCAAAAATGAATGAACAATTAACCAAGCATACATAGGTAGCAAAAGAAACAAGGAAAACAAGAAAATACAAAAATGGATGAACTAAACATTTAACAAGTGAACAATTAAACAAGCATACATAGGTAGCAAAAGAAACAAGGAAAACATTTAGAGGGGGACTCAAGAGGAGGTTCAGCCATAGGAATAGAGGTTGGCCGAACCTTCAACTTAGTTTTTCAATGGTAAATTGCTTTGTTTTTGTTTGTTTTTTAACTTCACTCCAATTATAGATTAATTGGATGAAGTTGGATTCAAATTTTTAACAAAAAAAAAACTAAAATACTTTCAAGAAAATTAACAAAGAAATGGATGAAACACAATGAAAATATAATGAAAAATGTGATGAGGATGCAAGAAAATGCAAAAATGGATGACAAGAAAAGTCTACCTTCAAGTTTTCTTCACAAGGATTTTTTTCTCTATTTTTTTCAAGATTTTTTTCTTAATTTTCTTCCTTTGTTTCACCTTTTTTTTTTCAACCCTTTCCCCTGGTTTTTTCATCCAATAAAAGTCATCCCTTAAATGAAGAAGAAGCCACCAAAACATCTTTAAAAGATTGAATATGAACCTTAAAATCAAATTTCATCCAATGGGCAAAACTCTTCCATTGTATTTAATCCAAAAAGCAATCTTTAGCTATTGGATTAAGATTCATTATAAGATCTAATGGTCCATATTATTCACTTTAATGGTTGTATTTTTATGGCCCTTAAATCAAATGAAAAGATCATTTTACGTTTAGTATAAAATTTTCGGTATTTAGGCATTTTCTTATAAATCAATGTTTTTGTGCTTTTTTTTAATTTTAAAACACAAAAAATCATAAAATATTATAAAATTAATATTTAAAAATTTTCGTGAAAATTCAACATCGAGAAGATCAAATTACAAAAATACTTTTAAAGAGTATTTAGTAATTTCACACCTATTGAGATGCTGTTGTGATTTCAAATGCATAAAAAATCATTAAATATTAAAAAATTTTAATCTAAAAAGTTTCGCGACAAATCGACATCAAAAAGGTAAAATTACAAAGCGACTCTTAAAGGGCATTTTAGTAATTTTATACCTTTTGAGGTATAATTAAGGTTTTCAAAATTTTAAAAATCATCAAATATTATAAAATTATGATCTAAAGCTTTTTGCAAAATTTTAATTTTGAAAAGATCAAGTTACGAAAATACTCCTAAGTTGCATTTTGGTAATTTCACACATTTCAATATGTGTCATGGGTTTTTAATGTATAAAAAATCATTGAAAAATATTTAATTATGATATGAAAGTTTTCACAAAAATTCAACTTTGAAAAAATCAAATTACAAAAATATCTTTAAAGGTGTTTTGATAATTTTATATTTGTCAAAGTATAATTAAAATTTTTAGTACTTTAAAAATCATCAACTTTATTTTTAAATCACATTGATTCTAATTGGATTATAAATTTTGGGAATTGACTTAGGTTTTATCTATTTTGATCAAGTTTTGTGTAATTTTGATTTTGTTTGACTAATTTTGACTATGTTAACCAAATGTGATCAGATTTAACTAAAGTTAATTTTGGGGCATTTGAGTCAAATTAGTTTGAATTTCGATTTTAAAGCCTTGTCAAAATTAGAGAGATGCTAGATTTGAACTGAATGGGATTTTAAACATTTTACAAATTATCAAAATTTTACTCGGACAAAATTAAGTGTCTACAGTTGTCTTTTTTGCATATTTCTAAGAATCATAAATAATGCAAAGACCAAAAACACCAATTTGGCCAAGACCAAAAGTTGAGGGGAAGTTTATTTGTGCTTGTTTGTTTTCATGATGGATTTTTTTTGTTTTTTCATTTTTTTGTTTTTTTATCGAAAAGTCGTGGAGATTTGCATCAAGAGTTGTTTTAAGGTTTTGGGATTCATACCAAAGGTCTTTGAGATTTTCATCGAAGGGTTGAGATTCACACCAAAAGGTTTTTCAAAAGTTTATGATTCACATTGAAATATTAGGATTCACACCAACACCGAAAAAACTAGGGTTCACATTAAGAATTTTCAAAAGTTCGGGATTCACACTAGGATTCTTCAAAAGGTTTAGGATTCACAAAAGGTTTTTTCAAGTGGTTTAAGATTCATAAAATGTTTTTTTCAAAAGGTTTAGGATTCCTACCAAGATTCTTCAAAAAGTTTGCGCTTCACACCGAAAGATTTTTCAAAAGGTTTGGGATTCGCAAAACATTTCTTCAAAAGGTTCGGGACTCACACCAAATGGCTAGGGTTAACACCAAGATTTTTCGAAAGATTTAGGATTCACATCAAAAGGTTGAGGTTCACACTAGGATTTTTCAAAAGTTCGAGATTCACACCAGAAGGTTTTTCAAAAGGTTTAGGATTCGCAAAAGGTTTCTTAAAAAGGTTAGGGATTCACATTGAAAGGTTGGGATTCACACTAAGATTCTTTAAAAGTTTGGGATTCACATTGAAAGGCTTTTTCAAAAGATTTGGGATTCACACCAAAAGTAAACGATTTATAGTTAGAAGACTCGAATTCACAACAGAGAACGATTCATAGTTGGAAAGACTATTGGATTCATAATAAAGAAAATGATTCACAATTTAGATAACTTTGGATTCATAGCAGAGTAAATAATTCATAGTTTAGATGACTTTGCATTCACAGTAGAGTAAATGATTCAAAGTTTGAAGACTCTGGAGTCATAGAAGAGTAAACTATTCATAGTTTGAAGACTCTGGATTCATAACAGAGTAATGATTCATAGTTTGAAAATTTTGGATT